ACCGTCTTCCTTTCTGGGTCTCTAGATCTGCCTTCAGGGATGGCCCCAGGTGGACCAATAATCCTGGGAGCCAACCTGGAGCTATGGACATGCTTCTGTGTTCCCACCAACCTTGGATCCACAGGATTCTGCACTCAAAAGCCTGCGATCTCCCGGCATCCCGCTCCCCCTTTTTGTGTCATTGGCTGGTAGCTAGGTGAGTCTGAAGTGGGCTCTGGCTCGCATCAGACCCATGAACTTGAGTTGGATTGGGATGCCTTCTTGATATAAAGTTCTTTCTTTTAAAAAAAAATCATTTTATTGGGGGCTTGTACAACTCTTATCACAATCCATCCATCCATCCATCCATTGTGTCAAGCACATTTGTACATTTGTTTCCTTCGTCATTTTCAAAACATTTTCTTTCTACTTGAGCCCTTGGTATCAGCTCCTCATTTTTTCCCTTTTCTCCCCCATGAACTCTTGATAATTTAGAAATTATTATTATTTTCATATCTTACATTGTCTGCTGCCTCCCTTCACCCACTTTTCTGTTGTCCGTCCCCCTGGGAAGGGGTTATATGTAGATCATTGTGACCAGTTCCCCCTTTCTCCCCCCACCTTTCCCTTACCCTCCTGGTATCGCTACTCTCATTATTGGTCCTGAGGGGTTTATCTATCCTGGTCTAGCCGGACTTGTAAGGTAGAATGGGGGTCATGATAGTGGTGGTGGGAGAAGCATTAAAGAACCAGAGGAAAGTTGTATGTTTCATCAGTGCTGTACTGCACCATGTCTAGTCCCTTTCTTAACGGCATTTACACCATCGTGCACATTTCAGACTTGCTTCATTATTAATTTTCTAGGTTTCTCCCTCTGAAAACAGAAACTTCTTGAGAAAAGCAACTAGGCGATGCTGTATCACTAGTACTTACAATGCTTTTGGTACATAGTGGGTGCTGGAATATTTATTGAATGGATGAGTGAAGGATGACATTCAACCAATACTTAATTGAGGGCTTTTTCATTTTTGGTGGCCGGGTCAGGCATTATGCTAAGTGCTGGGCTAACACATTATTTGAAACAAGGAACTCATAAACTGGTAGTGCAGATGGGGATGAAAAATCATATTACAGGAAAGATCAGGAGGCTGTGAGGGGCATCTTAATTGGAGCAGGTGTGGGGAAGGCCAGGAGGTGCTTTGAGGCCCCCTGAGCTGGATTGTCAAGGAACCATCTCTTGACAGGACCTGAAAACATGCTACACAGATATAATTGGTTTCCTCTCCCAATGACCCCGTACGCTTCAGGAGGACACTCTATGGGGGATCTAGATTCACAGAGGAACAAGACTGAGGCTCCTCTGATTGTCTCTGCATGTCTTATCAGTCTAAGTGATAATGGGCAACAGCATTGTCAGCTTTTTTTTGGATATTTTATTTGAACTTTCTTCAGGCACTGCATAACTATACCAGAGTGGATTTCATATAAAGTAAAACCATCAGAAGCAGGTCTATCTTTTTCCCCCACCCGCCTATAATATATAGAGCCCCTGGGCAAGCATCTTCATCACACGACCAAAAGCCCTGTCGCAATCACACATGTTGCTCTGCTAGCCTATTATATTGGCATTGAGGTGAGAGCCCCTGAGCAGCCGAGCACAGCCATGCCCGAGCAAAGGGGTGCACATTGAATCACTAGACTCAGAAGCACGGAGGACAGAACACACTGGATGCTGTGCCACAGAACGAGAGAACTTCCCAGACATAAAGGAGCCAAGGCAAACAGGCCCAATTTATTCAACAGATTTTTCTTATGCAGGCAATGGATGTGTGCCAAGGCATTTTTGCAACTGACAGGCAGCATGGGTGAGCAAATCAGGCAATATTAGCATTAACAGCATCACAGTCATTTTGAGTCCCCAAATGGCAAATAAGTGAATAGTACAAAAATAAGCTATCATGCATTTCATAAACAGGTGAAGAATTAAGTAAGCTTCAAATAAGAGCTCCGTTAGTAGCTAAAATATACATATACAAGTATATATATGGCATTTAAACGGTAATTATTTTAATTTTTTAAATTGTTTTACAACTCTTAAACAACTCTTATCACAATCCATCCATCCATCCATCCATCCATCCATTGTGTCATGCACATTTGTACATTTGTTGCCATCATCATTCTCAAAGCATTT